CTGCAAAGGTTGGGCTCTGAACACAAAAGGCTAACACTGAATTGCTTGTTTAGAAAAATCTCATGGAAAACACCTTTTTACACTTAGCACAAAACATAACCTGGGTGGGACACACCAGGTCAAGTATTTAGATTTTGTAGTAACCCAAATCTACCTGGAAGAGTAAGAAAACCAACTTTTCTATCTTTGACAGCTTTTGATCTGTGGTCTAAACAAAGTTTATTTGCAACTAAAATATGCAAAAAACATGCAGGTAAAACCTCACAACATATTCCCTGAACAGCTGCTTGCAGGGATGCTTGTTCTAAAGCTTGAAGCAGCAGCTTCAAAGAAAGGGAGGAAAAACTGTGTAGATCCATCCCAGCTTGGGAATTCCTGTGTTTCCATCGCCCTGTGCCTGCTTCCTGCACCTGGGAGGTGCCCCCAGGAGCTGTGTGTGTGTATGAATGCACCTCGGGCACCTTTGCACACAGAAATACAAATCTCTGCACCCCAAAACTTGCGGGATGTGCCTATCTGTGTGCCCTAGCACCGGGAGGAGGGTGCAAAGCCCAGCTCCCATGGGAAGCACGGAAACACCAGCCGTGGCCGTGGATGGTGAAGGCAGGAAGATGTCGGGATGTGCAGCCACGCAGCCCAGCCCTGGGCAAACAGGGATTTGGGGCTGTGCAGGCTGACAGGAGCCGCTGCTGGCTGTGCACCCTGTTGCTCGGAGGAGTTGGAGGGACAGCGCGGTGCGTGTTTAAACACGGGAACACCGGTGTGAGGGCGGCTGGGCACCCGCAGAGCCGCGGGGTGCCCGCTCCGTGCGGGGGTGGCCGTGAGGGGAAAGGCTCTGCGTGCCCCCCGAGCACCGGCGGCCATCCTCCCACCCAGGGGCGGACTCGCGGGAGGGAAGGAAGGGGCCGGCCTTGGGCCCGTGACCTTGAGGGACGCCCCGCCGCTCGCACCGCCCGCCCCAGGCCCGGCCGCTGCCCCGCCGGCGGGGCGCCATTTCCAGCCTGGCAAGGGGACGCTCCGCGCGGCGGGGCGCAAGGTGGCTCGGGCGGCGTGCAGCTTCTCGCGGCGGCCCCGTCCCGCCCGCCTCGCCCCCCTCAGGGCTCACCTGAGGGCAGGCCCGGTGCCGGGCTGCAGGCGCGGCACGGCGGGCGCTCCCACCAGGCTCCCCCGCAGCAGCACTCGCGCCGCCATCTTGCTCCCGCCGCCTCCCTCCTGGGCCGGGGGCTGCGGCCACGCCCCCTGGCGGGCAGCGCCGCCCGCGCATGCGCGGCCCGCGACCCCCTCACGGCCCCTCAGCTGAGGGGGGACCCCAGCCCCGCTTTGGGGGGACCAAGTCGGGTTTAGGGGGACCCTGCCCAGCTTTGGGGGGACGAAGTTGGGTTTAGGGGGACCCCAGCCCCGCTTTGCGGGGACCAAGTCGGGTTTAGGGTGACCCCAGTCCTGCTTTGCGGGGACCAAGTCGGGTTTAGGGGGACCCTGCCCAGCTTTGGGCACCGCTGCTCAGATATAGGGGACCCAGCTCTAGTTTTGGGGTTCTCCAGCCTCGGTTTAGGGGGACCAAGTTGGATTTGGGGGCACCAAGTCGGCTTTAGGGGGAACCATGCCTCAGTTTGGGAACATCTACTCAGACGTAGAGGGACCCCAGTCCTGCTTTGGGGGGACCAAGTCGGGTTCAGGGGAACCCTGCCCAGATTTGGGGACTGCTACTCAGATATAGGGGAACCAGGTCTAGTTTTGGGGTTCTCCAGCCTTGGTTTGGGGGGGACCAAGCCAGATTTGGGGGGAACCATGCCCCGGTTTAGGAATGCCTACTCAGACATAAAAGGACCCCAGCCCCGCTTTGGGGGGACCAAGTTGGGTTTAGGGGGACCCTGCCCAGCTTTGGGCACTGCTGCTCAGATATAGGGGACCCAGCTCTAGTTTTGGGGTTCCCCAGCCTCGGTTTAGGGGGACCAAGTCAGATTTGGGGGCACCAAGTCGGCTTTAGGGGGAACCATGCCTCAGTTTGGGAACACCTACTCAGACGTAGAGGGACCCCAGTCCTGCTTTGGGGGGACCAAGTAGAGTTTAGGGGAACCCTGCCCAGCTTTGGGGACCGCTATTCAGATATAGGGGACACAGCTCTAGTTTTGGGGTTCCCCAGCCTCGGTTTAGGGGGGACCAAGTCAGCTTTAGGGGGATCCTGCCCAACTTTGGGGACTGCTACTCAGATACAGGGGAACCAGGTCTAGTTTTGGGGTTCTCCAGCCTTGGTTTGGGGGGGACCAAGTTGGATTTGGGGGGAACCATGCCCCAGTTTGAGAACACCTACTCAGACGTAGAGGGACCCCAGCCCCGGTTTGGGGGGACCAAGTTGGGTTTAGGGAGACCCTGCCCAGCTTTGGGGACCGCTACTCAGATATAGGGGAACCAGTTCTGGTTTTGGGGTTCCCCAACCTTGATTTGGGGAGGACCAAGTTGGATTTGGGGGCGATTTCCCAGCCCCGGTTTGGGAGCACCTACTCACACGTAGAGGGACCCCAGCCCTGGTTTGAGATCTACCTGCATTTGGGGGGACCCCAGCCACAGTTTTGGGGTATCCCCAGCCTTGTTTAGGTTTACCCAAGCCCCAGTTTGGGGAGGAACACACTTGGACTTATTAAGACCCTCAAGCCCCAGTTTTGACAGACTCCAGCCCCAGTTAGGGGGACCCTGGGCTCAGTTTGGGGTGACTCCAGTCTTGGGTTGAAGTCCCCCAGTCAGATTTAGGGGACCCCCAGCCCTGGTTTTAGGGGACCCAGTTGGATTTTGGGACTCCCAGCCCTGGTTTTAGGGGACCCAGTTGGATTTTGGGACTCCCAGCCCTGGTTTTAGGGGACCCAGTTGGATTTAGGGGACCCCCAGCCCCGGTCTGTTGCTCTCCCAGTACATTTTTCACTCGCTGGCTGCTGACGGGTTTTCCTCACACTCTGCTCCGCTGTACTCGGAGATATTTTGGCTGAGGAGGAGGTGTGTGCTGGCACTGAATTCTTAAATCACTTAAAATTAAGGATAAAGGGATAATTAGGGTAATAATTAAAGGGCAGTTCTAAAAGCAACAAGCCAATAAACACAGAAAGCAGTCAGTGACTAATCCTTATCATTCCCTGTAACACCTATAATGATTCTATCTTGGCCCTATAAACTTTCCCTTCCCATTTTATGACTTTTCTATCAGCACTTTCTGAGACTAATCCAGAAGGTAACACATGTGATGTGCTTTAACATCACAAAAGTACAATCTTTGTACTTTAAAACAATTTAACCTACAATTGCCATCACTCTATTAAATAACACAGTCTGATATGTAATTTGGTTTTAGTGACATTTTGATCTGACAGTGTGGCAAGTTCTTGAGAAACCCTCCTGGAGCCTACACTGGAAAAATTATAAACTGTGATGAATCAATCTTATAGGAAAAAAAATTGGCATTTTCACAGCTACTCAAGATAAATCACAAGACAAGAAAATATTCACTCCCCTAATTAGACCTAGATGCAACCTATTAAGCAAACAGGAAAGCTTTTCAATTTTTTATAATTATCTAGTTATCAGAACACTTATATTCCAAATATTGAGGGTCAATTTCTGCTTGGATACAGCTTCAGTGCATTTCCTATAGCCCAGGACCAAATTCTACCCTGTATCCAAGTTCTCCCAATCCCTGCTTGGATGAAGTTCCACATTTTGCATTCACCTGGGCAGGAATCAGAGCTCAGGTTTATCCTTTGCTTTGATCAGCCAGCTCCAATTCCCGAGGAATTTATATAAACCTAAACCTCTGCCACAAGAAAAACCCTACAGCCACATGCTTAAGGCACTTCCTCAACCTCAGAGCCTGTGCCCACAGAATTTCACACAGAGACATTTCAGTGAAAGTTTCTTGACATCCCACATGAACACTGGCCTTCAAAGAGCAGCATTTTTTGCTTTGAAGCACCAAAGGAACTTTAAGGTTTTCATTCCTGTTGTCCCAAATCATTTGCTGAGTTCAGTCAGGCTTATTAGGCAGCCAGAACTGATTTTGTGCAGGAAGTTAAAGGGAAAATGATCCTTAATAATCTGACAACAGCACAGAACACAACTGGAAGCTACTCAGTTGCTTAAAGTAAGATATTTTAGGTCAGAGGCTAAGATTTTAAGTCTGATACACCTTGTTGTGCTTCTGATCCTAAAGACCAACAGACACTTTGGAAAGGATTCCTCACAGCTCTCATATCCCACTCTCCCCTCCCACACTGCCAAATTTTGAGGCAGATGCCCTTTTAGATCCAAAGTCAGAACATGAGGCTGCTGCAACAGCTGCAGGCTCTCATCTTGCTGTATGTCCTGGAGGAGAGAACATGAGATCCCCAGAGCTGTAGCAAGATAAAATCATATTTCATCACTAACTCCTCGCGCTTTAACTCCACATTAAAACATGCAGCAAACCAGCACCTCTAGCTCCCCAAAATGTGTTATTTTAATTAGCTTTTCTGATGAGCCTAAATCACTTTTAGACTTTGTATTCCCATCAGCTCCCCTGTCCTGCTGGCAAATCTTGAAGAGATCCAGCTCTCCCAGCATGAAATCCTGCCTTTGCACAGGGGACAGAGCCAACCACGCTAAGCTGCCCAAAGCTTTGATTCTCACCTCTCTGCCACTAGAAAGGCAAAGGGCTGTGTTTTTGTTAGAGTTTGGAAGTCAGAAGGCACTGTAAGAGGAAATAAGGACACAAGCATGCAGCTGATTGTAAAATTCTACACTTCCTTTCAAAAGCTTTAATAGCACCATCTCCAGTAACCCTACAAACCACAAAAGACTGCCTGAAATACAGAACAATCAAATAATATAATGACCCTCCCACCAAAATTAAACATCACACAGCTGTAGTCTTGTCTTAACACAGAGAGGTCATTCCAGGAGGGCAGCTGCCTTTGGGAACTGTCACTGGGGCAAAACTACAGGCAACAAAATGAAGTGTGAACACTAAACTTGAATTTTTTTTTTCTGTATTTTCATTCAAAGCTCCAGGTGCCCATCAAACTGCAACATCTCTTTGCATAAGCAACTACATTTACTATTTATTTTAACTACAGATTTCACTGAAACATTTAACTTATCACAGCAGGGCCTCAAACATCCCTGACAGAGAGAGACAAAAGCTGGAAGCCCTCTGCTTAAAATATTTCCCCCACTATTTGTCTGTTGAACAAACTTTAAGTTCCTGAAGTTTCTCACTTAGATAGGTGGTATCTGCCTCGGTGAGATTTTCTGAATCTGAGAGGTTTTCCAGGAATCTGGTTCCTGCACAGGGCTTTCCTGTGATGGGATCTATGACATTGCCAACCTTGAACACAATTTCAGCCAGTTCGTGTTTCACGTGTTTGCTCCTTCTCTCAGGCAGAGCTTTCAGAAGAACAATGTCTCCAACAACACACTGCTGCAGTGGGTCATGGGCAAAATAGGTTTTTCTTTTGTTAAAGAACTGTAAAAGGAACAAAAAGAATAATAACAATAATAAAAAAAGAAACCTTGGTATTATATTTCAAAGTTACGTGATGGTTAAATATATATAATTAATATAAAATAAATTTCACTAAAGTCTTATGTATCTTTTAAAGTGAGATTCAGTTTGGATCATGAAGAGAAATGTAACTGTGCACTCTACAGGTTCTCCACAGAAAGCACACAGCACTGCTGTTCCCAATCTCTTCTCAGCACAGTGTTGCCAACTGAGCCTGGAGAAAGGAGATGGGGAAGAAAAACCTCTGAAATCTGTATTTTGAAGTTTTTATGTGAGAGTTTTCTTGCCGAAATAATTTTTTTTTCCACATAAAAAGTCTTTTTTTTTCTTATTAGAACAGCAGAGCTCAGAATTTTTTATGAAATAGATTAGGTTAAGAAATAAAGAAAGGCCCTTCTATTGGATAAAATATTGACATGGGCTGCACAAGACCCATTTTCCAATCCTGACTCTATCCTTAACCTTTTGGTTACCAAAAGCAATTTATTCTACCTCCATGTACCACTGTTTCCCTATTTAAAATGGAGAAAATAAAATTTTTGAGCTTCCTGTTTGAAGTGCATCGATAAGGGATAAATCCAAGATCACAGGAATGTTACAATTATACATACAGAAAAAACAGCCATGAATTTTATTGTACAAGTGACTAATAAATTGTCAAGTCTCCAAAGCATGCTCCACATCGACATGAAAAATTAAATCTAAGTGTGAAACAACAAAAGCTTACCTTCCCGAAAAGATCAAATGAAGTGCATTAACGAGGCACTTCAAAGAAATACATTTAGCAGGTAATTTGTAAGTCCTACCACTCACTGCTTTTCATCCTTTGCCATCATCCTCACAGCCAGATCCTTAAGGAGTTTAATTTGTAAAGAGTCATCAAAACTTTTAAGAGTTGAATCAGCAGAACATTCCTCCACAAAATACAAAACCCACCAGGCAAGAGAATTTGGTGTTACCTTTAGCAAGTAGGGATCCAGCACGAGCCTTGTCACTCTCACTTTGGCAGTTTTCTGCATTTTGGTCCCAATGACTTTCCCCACTATCCATTTTGCATGGACAGCTCCACGTGGTACAGACATTGTTCAGTTATGGTCATGCAGTGCCTGGCAGCAAGAAAAGCAGACGTGTTATTGTAACAAAGTAAAACATTTGGGTTTTTTTCACTTTTATGCTATCTGATAAATACCAAAACTTTCCTTATTTTAGGCTAACAGCTTCATTAGGTCATTTTGTTGGAAGAACAGTTCAAAACTCCATTTATTGCACTTTGGACAATATAGAAGGGATGTCACCATGCCCTTGCTATCAGTAACAGTTCCTTCAGGACAGCAGTAAAACTGGAGAGAACAGCGTGAGGAGGAGACCTTACCCCACAAAAATGAATCATCCCAATTGTCACAAACACAACAGAGAAAAGCGTAGCTGTGGAAAGTATTCATTTAACTCACAATCCAGCAGCTGTTTTGGCTGGAAACCTGTTCATCAGAACAGAGTGCAGCCAAACAAAGGAGCAGCCTACAGCTTTTGTTCAAAGGCATTTGCTTCTGTGCCTCTCGAGCTGATGAAACCTAAGGGAAGTAATGAGCTTCTCAAGCCATAAATGACACATCAAAGAGCTGTCTGATCTATCTAGTACATGTATTTGCTTTCCAGGTCTTTCCTGCAAGTAAATTATATTCCATTACCTTATTTGGTTTAATTAGGGAGAGCTTTCTGTACCACTCTCGCAAGAGTCGGGGGAAAAGCCAACAGACGACTTGAATCAATATCAAAACTGATGGAGATTAATGACCATTTTCTCTCCTACTCAGATACATTGTTAAGCACAACCAACACCTGTGAACTCTCCATGCCTCCCAGTTTGCAAGACACTCGCTTTGATGTCCCAACACATCAAAAGCAGAGTTTAGGGATACAGGGACACAGCCATAGGAGGGAACTTCAGCAAATACTCGGGGGTTGCTTTTCCCACGGCGAACTCAGCTGTGGGCGCTCAGGGCTGGAAAGAATCAGCGTGGGGGGCCCTCCTGCACCTCATGGCAGCCATGCGTGTGCAGCACGGGCAACACCCAGGGATAAAAGAAGAAATTGAAGAGAGAGAGAGAGAGCGAGCGAGCCCTGACCCCTCCACCCCCCCACAGCGCTCCGCGCTAGGCCCTGCAGGCCAGCAGGGCCGCGCAGGCAGCGGGGCTCAGCCAGGCGGGTCATGCAGCACCCAGAGAGCAGCGTGGCACAGGGGAACCGCAGAGGGGAGCCCCCACAGGCGAACCCCGGCCCCTCTCACCGCCGCTGCCGCCACCGAGGCTCGGGGCCGGGAGGAGACGGGCCCGGAACGGGCGGCGCCGAGCGCGGAAGCGCCGCGCGGCGGGAAGGGGCGGGGCCAAAAGGGGCGGGGCCTCCGAGGGTATTTAAAGCCGCGCGCCGCCGGCTGCTGCCCTCAGAGGCACTGAGGGGGAAACGAGGTTGGATTGTTGGGGGAGAGGATGGTTATAATTAAAAGCGATCCTTAAGGACTCCTGAAAGATCCCTTAAGGATGGTGCAGGGGAAGCTTTAAGAGGAGTGGCTGAGGTAATTTAATTTATTCAGGTTGGAGAATGTTATAAATTGAGGCGAATAATTTGATTCAGCCTTTTAAGATCAATTAATAATTTTATTAATTACAGCAAGCGATAGCAAGCAAACAGCGCTGGGTGCAGCTGCGGAGCCTGTGTTCCGCCAAAAGCTGACAACTTTTCTTTCTCTTCAGTCCCTTTTTATCCTGCATAAGTGGGGGTGATGGGTCTCCTACCGTGGTTATCAGTTCCAGCAACAATGGGTTTTCACTGCGGTTATCAGTTCCAGCCAGTCCTGCAAAATCTTTCACAATCTTTGTTTGTGGTTACCAGTCAAGCCTGCAAATTCCATGTCCTGACTTCCCCCCTTTTATCCTAATTTCATACTTTTGATGAACAAACGAGTCAATGCAGTTCCTCACAGAGAAGATGAGGTTGAGGTCAGACCTTGTTGCGGTCTTCAGTGTTCTCATGAGGGGAAGAGGTGGAGCAGGTTCCAATCCCCTCTGTCACATGAATGACAAGGAAATGGCTGGAGCTGAGTCAGGGGAGTTTTATGGTGGTATCAAGGAAAGTTTTTTAACCCAGAGCGTGGTAGAGCAGTGGAATAGGCACCTTAGTGCTGTGGCTATGGCATCAAATCTGACAGAGCTCAAGAGCTCAGATCCATGGTGGGAGTCCTGGAACGTTCTGTGCACTGTCAGGAGTTGGACTCGATGTTCCTGATGGCTCCCTTCTAACTCAGGATATTCTGTGATGGTTTCAAGTCCAACTGTGTATCCAGCACTGCCACTGTAACCCCAAACCACGATCCAGACATTTCCAGGGATGGGAACCCCACCCTGGACAACCTATTCCCATGCCTGACCACCCAAACAGTGAAAACATTTTCCCTAATATCTAATCTGAATCTCTCATCTCAGTTTAAAGCTGTTTTTTCTTGTCTTCTCACTGCGAGTAGAAGAGAGTAACCCTATCTCACCACAACCTCCCCTCAGGTAATTTTAGGGAATGATGAACAAATGCAGACTGTGGGTGCTGAGGGACCCCTTTACACGGAATTTTGGGCATGGAGCTGACTCTCAGTGCAGCCTCTTTGAGGTTTCTGCGCATCAGCAAATGCTGTGCTCTTCCTGCTGCTGCTAAGAGATGGAAATGAGACAAATATTGAAAGTTTTCCATATAAATCCAGAACAATTATAGTAGGTATGGAGTGAGAGCTGGCCTGTCCTTGCTATCCATAACCTGGATATATATCCATGACCTAGCAGATATTCAGTTTCTGTAAATCTCTGTATGAAATGGAGGGTTAGCAAAAAAAAAAAAAATCCCCAAACCACTTAGAAATTGAATAATGGCAAAATTATTGGACTTTGAGGTAACAAGCTCCTGGTCTTTCCCTGTGACTTCAGGCTGAGGCCATCCAGTTTTTTATTTAAATGTGTTCACGTACCACTTTCTGCTGGTATTTTGGCTGCTGCCCAGTTTAGAGCCTTGTTCTCTTTTTGCTGTGGGTGTCCCATCATCTCTCACAGCAGGAAGAGGACAGGTAGGGAATTATATTTAATTAACAGCACAACTCCAGGCAGTTTCCCTTCTTAAGGTGGCTGATATGGGGAGAACAAGAGACACTGTTGAAATAGTTTGATCAGATACCATCCAAGGAGTTATTTGGAAGTTCATTATCAATTTTTACAGCTAGCCAAGCCAAAACTCGTGGGTTTCTCTTATTTTAGTGCCTGGTTGTTAGAATTACAGAGCAGGGAAGTTGGGAGGAGCCCTGGTGCAGGCAGGAAATGGTTAAGAGTTCCTATCACCTGGGAAAGCAATCCTTTGATTTTTCAGAGGGCGCTAACATGCTGCAGTTCATGGAAACAAAGGGAAGGGGATCAAGTAGAAAAGTTGTTCTTGGATTTTATTCTCAGTGGCAGAACTTCTGAGGTCTGGATATTGATGTCTGCGGGGAAAATACGGAGATTTTGGATTAAAAGGGATTTTTTTTTTCCTTATCATCATTCAAAAAAGGATCTATGAGGTAAGTCTTGATCCAACTGGTGACTTTAGATAACTTCTTTTAAGAGTGAGGAGTAAAGAAAACGCCTTTATCTTTGCTGACCCATTTTAAAACAGTGAATTCTTTGCTGAAATTGTTCCTCGGGCAGGGAGCAGAGGCAGGAGCGCGAGTCAACAACTGCACAGAGCCCACGACGCTCGCCTGTGTTGTCTGCATTCAAATCGCTTGCATTCATTCCTGAGCTGGAGTATGGAAATTCAGCACTATAATGAGCCAAGGGAATTTGCCACTCGGAGTTGCAGTAAATATTTCAGCGCTGACACTCTTTCAAGCTGTAGTAGTGGCTGTGCTCATGTGCTTCAAGCATCTCTGGTGGTGGCTCTTAAAGTAATTCCCAAGCCTTGTCTCTTGAATCCTCATTGGTGTCCCAAAGGTTTTGTATTTCCAGCTCCTGTAAGGACCAGGCTGACTAATTTTGGGGCTGTTAGAGAGGGGTCTCGATTGCCATGAATTCTTTGCCTGCCTGCACCCGAGTTCTCACCTTCAAAAGTGCTACTGGATTTTGTGTGTGTGTGAAAACAGATGATTTTTCACGCCAGTGTGGCTGCCCCAAGTGTGATGGATGGTGCTGACTGTCACTGAGAGCCAGTGCCACACGAAAGGAAGTTTTTACACCCCGTGGAGAGCCCTACAAAACCCATCCATTCACCTTGGAGCTGCTTTAACTGCGCGTAAGTGGCACTCTCACTCTTGGGCAGCTTGACATATTTATCTACGAGGTGCCGAATTGTGGTGGATTTCTGGAGCCTGGTGAGTGTGTGGTGATGCTGGTTCCATTTTCCCTCCCTGCCTGCCTGTGAGTGGGTGCTCTCTGCAGTGTGGGTGACTCCCCACGTGGATCAAAGTGCGGGGCTGTGCTGTGACACATCAGCCTCGCTGCTGCTGCACCCACCTGGCCAGTTCTTCCTGCTCTTCCCACTCACCCCACGCTTTGCTCCTGCTTTCTCATTGTCCAGGAGGGAGAACACTCCAATCCAGAGCTCCTTCTATCTTGGGCATCAACAGAGACTTGGGGCTCTTTTGGTCTTTGCCATTTTATTCCCCATCGCTGCCTTTCTGTTCCCCTCGCCACACTGAGCTTTTATCATCTCCCTGTGCTTGTTCCCAGCTCCTGAACTCTCCGTTCCCAGGTTCTGGCTGGGCAGGAATCTTTCATCACCCTGCCCTATTTTGAATTCATGCTCTGGTCCATCACATTTTGCTCCTTCTGGATCTCTGTGGCACCTGCAGGAATAAATTACAGGAACTCTGCCTTGGAGCACTCAATTCCCTGTTGTTGGAAGGGATTACTCTTGCATTTACACAAAAAAATTACAAACCCTTGTATTTTTTTTTTCTTGTGTTTTATTTTTTTTTTTTTAGCAAGATTTCTCTTATTTGAAAAAAGTTATTTCTCTAAAATCTTGTCTGCTAAGTGCTGTTGCTTCTGTTGTCAGGATCTGACATTCATTTCAGCTATTCAGTGTGAAAACCCTTTCCAATTTCTTTACCAGTGCTATTGATTAAAATGCAGTTTACTTTTCTGGGGAAAATTTGATATTCAAAAATGTCTTTTTGCTGTGAGTCAGAATGTACTTTTCTGTGGAATAAAAATTCTGGAAAGAACAAAAAAAAAAAAAAAAAAAGCATTGGAAATGTTGAACAAATTATATTGTCGTTTCAACCTGGTTATATAAGAAAAAAAGACATAACTTCAAAGTCCAAATGAAAAGCTCTGGTATTTTTCTCATATTTTGAGAAAATGAATACATTTTTCTCCAGCTGCTCAATTTTATCTGTTCAGAATTTTCCATATGAAACTCTGAGAATGTTCTGTACTGGCCCTAACTCCAAGTTCCTGTTTAACTCAGCTGGCTGTTTCAGGTTACATATTAAAAATGAATTATGAAACTTTTTCTCCTTAGTTTTCAACCATTGATGTTTCTTCTAGAAACTAATAAAACTATTTCCATTTTTTGTGTAGAAGTCTATCGTTCTCAGGTTATAAATGTTGTATGGTACAATTATTGAGAGTTCTGAAGAAAACTGATGGAAAAGATCTTTGGAATGCAGCAGGTTAAAATTTAATTTTGCAGATTAGAGATCAAAAAATGTCTGTGGTAATTTACTGCTGGTTTAGATGCCCTCATATGATGCTCTCTCTCCCTGTCAATATTGCTGTGGTCATTTTGGGGGTTTTCAATATTCCCTTTTTCCTTAATTGAAAAGTCTTTGCTGTGCTAAGTAGAAAGGACCTGAGCTCTGCCCAGCTGGGTGCATTGAGCTGCCTAAATTATAAGAGGAAAATTTGTGGCAAGGTCTGGTTTTCATTCTAAAATAAAATCCCTGAGGAGAAAAACACCCTGGGGGTGATGGGATTTGGGCTCTGGATGTGCTGCTCTTGGACTGGTTTTTGGTGGTGTGGCCTCTCCTGGGCTGCTGGTGGGCACTGCCAGAAGGGACCAGCTTTGGGGGAGTCCTCTGAGGGTTTAGGTGCTCCATTCTCTAGGACAACACTGTCACATTGTTCTGGGGGGAAGTTCAGAAAGAGAAATGCCACCCTGTGCTTTCCCAGCACTGTAATACCCTGATTATTCTTGATTTTTCCTCAGTCTGCAACTTCATGAAGCCCATTATTTCTTGTCCTGAAGAGCAGCTATTTCCATGTCCCACCACTCATCCTTTCTTTGTTCTAATCTGTGCTTTCATCTTACCACAGATGATTTTCTAGCCCTTGGACCTCTCCT